TATTTATGTAATATTATTTTAAATGTTTAAAAATTTAATTATAGTACGGAACCGAACAGAACCGAATCGAATCGAACCCGAACTGTTCCAAAATTATATTTGGAACCGACGGTTCTATTTACTAAGACCCTGTTTGGGAGGGATTAGATTTTTATACAGTAAATCAATTCTCATTTTCAACCACACATTCTTCTATAAAATAATATTTTCTATCACATCAATAATTTTTTCTTCTTTTTCAACCACACATTTTTTATCATTTCACTATTCAAAATCAATTCTTCCCCCAAAAATCTCTCCTAAACAAGCTCTAAATATCCGAAAATTTCTGGAACCGAAAAAAACCGAACCGACCCTACCCGACCCGCGCCCACCCCGAATTATGGTTGTCTGGAATAAAGATTGGAAGGCAATTGCAAGAAAGTGCAAAGGTTGGAAACGGTGGCTATAATTTACCCTAAAAAAATTTCCAATTAAAAAAATTTAGGTGAATCGCAAATTGTACGAAATCAATTTAATGGCGAAAATTTGACTTAAAATTAGAAAGCTAATCATTGGTAGTCTTAAATCAAGTTAAGAATTCAAAAGCCTTTATTAGAATTTTCCGCACATTAACACTTCAAAATATAACTTCAATTCACTAAAATCACAACCGGTCTAATATATTAAGACCCGCTTTGATCCTTTGCACATTCTTTTTCATGATCCTACTATACTTCTTCATGGATTCGTGTGTGACTATTTCAGGATGGCCAACCGAGTTCCTCTTGACCATAGTCAAAAGCGATGTCTTTGCATCGTAGAACGGACCCCTACTCATAGGGGGTGCAAAAGGTGGTACCAGATTAGGTTTGATGGCAAAGCCCGAGAAGACTAAGGGGATATTAGTAAAATCCTCACCCTTCAACACATTTTCCACTGATAGAGAATCAATTGGCATGATCACCACAAGCGCTCCCAACTCGTCTCTCCTAGTCTCTTGGAGCATCCACTTTTCTCCCTTGATCTGCCAAAATTGCATATCAGTCATCAAGATTTCAACATATTTACATGAAATTACTTTTGTGCTATTATTTAGTGTGTAAATCTGTTTTCGTCAACCATTGCTATTCATTAAAGAAGGTGATGTTGGGCAAACTAGTCCACAGTCTCAATATGTGTTATGTACACAAATTTAAGTTATGTAATAGCATAAGTAGAGGATATAATAGGAATTACAGTTGGTCGTAGGAGGGAGACGTTGTTGCCATCTTCGCCCGTGGCAATATGGTACTCTTTCTGTAAGGCGATGTTAGCTAAACCCCATTGTTGCCTAATATTTTCGTCACATAGGAAATCAAAAAGACTTTGAGGGGATTGTGGCAGCCCAAGAGATGTTGTGACATTTACAAGAGTGCCGACTGGTTCTCCCGAGTCTACCATGCTCGCACTAGTCGTGATACGGAGATTTTCATCCA